CACATATTGACCATGTAATAGCTGCCAAGGTAAGCTCTCAGCTCCTCTAGGCTGCGGGAATTGCGCATGCGTTCATCATATTTGAAGACTCGGAGGTAGGAGAATACCGTGCCCGGAGTACACAACTTATTTTCCCGATGAAAGTCGAGGTTGATCACCTGCGCCTCCAGGATATGGAGGTAGTTATTTATCATCGTCGCACGGGGCGCAGGAACCATAGTCTGTGTCCTGATGAAGTGTGAGAGGTCTGGATATCATACGCTGCATGTAGATGCTCTCACCAGCCAAGGTACACGAGGAATCCTTGAAGTAGATCCAAGCTATGCTCCCCGTTAGCTAGCATATGCTCCATCCAGTAGTCTCTAGCTTTGATTGAATGAGCCACCTGTGAAGATCCATCTTGACAGACAACCGCCGGAATAACCAAGTTCAGGAATGGCTTTATAGTGCGTAAGTCGTCCAGACCTATACGAGGCGAGCGTACCACAAACGGAAGGAAGTTTGTGATACGCTCATTGAAATCTGCAAGCATTTTCTCCACATCCTCATCCAGTACAGGAGGAAGAACCAGAGTGTTGTCAGTGGCAGACAATGGACTAGCATTGCTGCCACCGATGCTTTCTATGTACCGTTGCGAGGCTGTGAGCAGTGAAGTCACATTATCGAGCTTCTTTTCTAGTCGACCGACGTCACTACTATATGGACTAGTCAGTAGCCATTAGTATTAATTCATGCGCACTCGCAAACACATACGACACATTATGCCGCTTTCCCGTGTGCGGCTTTGAAGCCTGCCTGGTACATTCTTTCCCCAGGCGATGACATCTGGCTCCGTCGTTAGTGCTTATCCTTTGGTCGGGTGGCCTCGTCCGTCTTTACCTTTGGCAAGCATCGGTCGGACCGGGGTCGCAGCGGACCTTGGCTTTGGAACAGGGTCTGCAGGCCTTAAGATGTCGAACGTCAGGAGTGGACATGTCGGTCGGGAACGGGACACAATGGAGGCGTGGTTGTGAGTTGAAGATGTGCAGAGAGTGAGATGGTGGTGGTGCCGGTCGGCATAAGCGGCATCCCGCGTCCGTGTCGGCATTCTTTAGCACCGATTGTATAACTAGATGTCAGATACAATAAACTTTACCCGCAATGTTTCAGGATATAAATGGAGATTGCATTCCCTTTTCTTCTTCTATGACCAAGAAGGACATATATAACATTTCTAAACACTTCAATTACCAGCACAATGACCGTGACAGACGACTGCACCCAACGCTACCCAGAAACCGGCATATCAGTCCTGATAGTCGGGGCTGGGGTCGCAGGACTAATGGCCGCTCTCGAATGCTGGCGCAATGGACACGACGTTCGAATCGTCGAACGATCTCCCGAAGAAGTCACTACAGGCAAGCAAGCCATAGTTGCGACCAACTCGTTTAAACACATCGCAGCTAACAAACCTACCAGGTGACTCGTTCACAATCGGCCCTAGTGCAACGCGCGCGTTCAAACACTGGCCCAAACTAGCCGAAGAGAACGAAAATATTGCATTCGTGCCTCATCTCGCCTTCTACACATTGAGTGGGGTTCGTATAACAGAGCCGAATCATGTTGAATACAGGCAGGACAAGGGTTCCAAAAAGGTGCCAGGGCAACTCACCCGCCATTGGAGACCCCAACTTCACAGCATGCTTCTCAAGCAGCTCTATGCCATCGGTATCAGCATCGAATATGGCTGCAGGGCGGTGGAGTATTTCGAGCGAAGCCAAACTGGGCGTGCAGGTATGATACTGACGAATGGGGAACGACTAGAAGCAGACGTCGTCATTGCTGCCGATGGGTTGAGAAGCCATTCGACCAAAGTGACACTGGGGCAGGAGATTCGGGCACGACCAACCGGACAAGCTTTCTATCGGACGGCTTTTCCGGTCGAGATAGCCATGAATGATCCGATGGTTCGAGAGCGATTTCCTGTAGTCGGTGAAAAAGAAGGACCGATTGAATTCTGGGCTGGGTATGACTATACCTCCACAAGATATTTATCCCCGTCATGAATATTCATACTGATTGATAGTCAAAGTGAGCACTACCATTTCCTCGTCATCAGGACATCTGATACAATGTCCTGGACTTTATCCCACAAGGTGAGTCAAGCAGACATTTGCCCTAACAACACACCAATATATACTATCCCTGCCTCCTTAGATCTAACATTGCACATAACTTTAGGACTACGAAAGCGCCACCGAATCCTGGTCCCACCAATCCGACCCCGAAGACGTTCTCAAAATAACCTCAACTATCCCAGACTGGCCAGAAGTAGCAGATCGGCTCATCCGTATCACACCTAAAGACAGACTCCTCCATTTCCGCGTCATGTGGAGAGATCCCCAACCCACCTGGGTATCGCCAGCAGGCCGTATCGTACAGATTGGAGACGCCGCACACACCTACATCCCAGCGTCAGGCAACGGCGCAACACAGGGAATTGAAGATGCAGTGTCGCTGGCTACATGTTTACGAATGGCGGGAGGAATAGAGCAGGTTCCGTGGGCGTTGAGGATCCACAATCGGCTACGGTACGTCTATGGTCATCTTCTCATGAAAAGAATAGTAATTGTATAACATTCACTAATAATGAATCTAATCCACATACAGCTTCATCCGAGTCTCCTGCCTCCAAAAGCTAGGCCTCATCAATCTCAAAAGCTACTCTGAAAAGCCCAAGAAAGATAACTTCACACCGAAGGGGCTCCAGTATTTAACAGCGGAGTGGATCTGGGGTCATGAGCCAGAGACATATGCCGAGGAGAACTACAGCAAGGTACTGGACCATCTACAGCGGGGCACGCCGTTCCAGGATACAAATATACCCCGCGGTCATGTGTATCGGGACTGGACGATTGATGAGATGTTGGAGATACAGGAGAGGGGGGAGGAGATTGAGCTGGATGGGGAGTGGGAGTAAATCTACATTTTACAGTTTACTGTTTATACATAGTATATGATACTTATCATCCTAAATAAGTCCTGACTGGATTCAAAGTCCGCGCAAGAACCATACTAACGACGAATATAGAACAACTGCAATTGGGAATCATATACAACACTCGACCAAAACACGACATATATACAGGTAAATAGAAACAAAAGTTATCACTTCCTAGCAAACCGACGCCATTGATCGCTTACCACCGACGGTACTACCAACATCATTAGCACAAGAACAAGAACAAATTGGCGCGTGCCATATCTAACATACCTCAGGAGGTCCCGGAGGGGGAGGAGGACCAGGAGGACCAGGACGGTCCCAAGGCCCGGGGGGCCCAGGAGGAGGAGGGGGGCCACCATGAGGGCCACCAGGGCGATCCCAAGGATCCCTAGGACCTGGCGGAGGAGGAGGTCCCGGGGGGCCACCGGGGCGGTCCCAAGAGTCTCTGGGGCCTGGCGGGGGAGGAGGGCCGCCAGGAGGGCCGCCAGGACGGTCCCAGGGATCTCTTGGTCCCGGAGGAGGAGGGCCGGGAGGACCACCGGGGCGACCCCAGGGGTCTCTTTGATCAGGAGGGGGACCAGGAGGGCCAGGAGGGCCGGGAGGAGGAGGACGAGTCCAGGGGTCTCTGGGATCATGAGGAGGGCCGTGAGGGCCGGGAGGGCCAGGTGGTGGTGGCGGGCCACCAGGACGGTCCCAGGGCCCGGGGCCCGGAGGGGGTCCCTGGGGACCAGGAGGAGGAGGAGGGGGGTTGTTATGGTGGTGATGGTGTGAGAACAGTCCCATTGTGAATAGGTTGTGAGGATGGATGTGAGTGCTGTCTAAGGATGGAGAAGGTTGTTAAGGTCTTAAATAACCACGTTGCTTGAGGCTTGGGCGGCGGAGTGGGGAGAGGGGCCACAGTAGGCAACGCCTTTCTTTAAGCAGATGTGGGACACTAAGCTAATTCTCCGTGGTAATTTTAGCATGGATGATATCGTTGAGTGTGCATGGGGCTCTTATGTGGCTGGGTAGTGGGTTGCGAACTAAATACTATTGGTATGAGACGGCGGTTCTATGTTCAACCAACCCCTCCATTCTCCTCCGCGTTTGACATTGTGTCCCAATGATTGAAAGTATTAGGGGGAGAAATGTAAACAATGTTGCCTATCAGGGGCTGTCAAACAAATCGAATCCATGGATTAGACTGGGGAATATTATTGAGACGAAGGGGGGTGCGTCTAATACCAAGTTTAGGGTTCGTAGTCTCCATATTTTTGGTACGTTGGTTCCTGACAAGCCGCGCTGTGGCAGGGCTGCTCATTTAACTGTGGATGATATTGATCACTGAATTGAACAAGTTGTCATGGATTAGAATACATTCTCAGTCCAGCATGTCCAAAATTAACTCTCAATTACTCACACCTCATATCATTCCGATTTCCGAAGCACGAAGTGGCCACACGTCGGGTTCGGTCGACGTTCCCCATAAGAGCGTTTAGGGCACAATTAGCGCCTCGGAGTGGATCAAAGCATACGTATGGCACCCCCACTATCGCCTCAGCCTTGGGAAGGTTGATGTACATAATCAGTTTATTTTACTGTTGTTCGAGAAGACATCTAGAGGCTAAGCCACGTCGTCGTTTGGGAGACTGCTCGCTGACGTGTTGCTTATCTGTTCCGCATACATGCAGGTGTCAACCCACAAAGATAGCCACATTGCTGGGCTGAACATGTCAATGGTATCGAGTAGCAGGAGTTCGAAAGCTTCCGGGTATAATTTTATCCGGTTGGCTTCGCCTCAAACACGAGGCATTGTGTTCGTCGATTTTTCTAGTGAAGTTTGTCAGGAGGTCACGGTACTGGTTAAGGGGGAGGAGCAACAACTCCTGTGAACGGGTCCACCGAGATTACCCGTGCATTAAATTCCGAGGGTTAAGCCTACGAAATATGGAGTCACAACACGAAGCATAATGTCAACAAGAGCACTTAATAGGATATATGTAGAAGGTGTCTGTCAGTGTGAAGGCGCTCTCAGAGCGTCCTGCTAACATTCCCTAGATCCGGAACATTTGATATCTATGTACATGCATCTCATTCCTCGTCTTCCTCGTCGCTCACTTCTTCACCAGCTTCAATAGCCTCCTGTCTCCTCTTCGCCGCAAGTTCCCTCTTCCTCTCTAGCAGCTTCTTCAATCTCTTAGCCGTACTAAATAATCCATTCGTGGCGGATCCACAGGCTGCACAGCTTGGATCCTTCCTGTACCTTTGCAGAGCACACTGCTCGCAGAAGTAATGACCGCATTTCGTGACGATAGGCTCCCTGTATGGCCCCTTGCAGATAAAACAGGCAAACGGAATGTCTTCCAGCATAGCCTCTTCATCATCGTCCTTGTTCTCCGTCGTTGTCCGGTCGGCACTCGCGACCACTGTTCCCTTCAATTGTTTGCCCTTGGTGACGGTCTCCCATTCTCGATCAAGTTCCCATCCTTGTTTGTAGTCGCTTCGATCGTGAAGGAATTTACTATACAATGATGGTTAGCATACGTTTCAAGAAGAGGGTATCCCTGTCAGGTGGCAAATATGTCTGTCAAGGGTAAGGGGTGATGACACTTACCAGTTATCACCGAAACCACAGAACCCAGTCTGCTTGTAATCCTTGCACACATCCGGTGAGTAATCTGTCACCGTTATAGTACGGATATTGGTTGCCGCCTTGATCGGTCCAAATGATCTGTTTGGCGCATTCGGATTCTTCTTAATGAATGACGTCTGGTTCGCCAGTCCCTTATATGTGCCATCTGGCATCTGCGGCTCACTCGAGGTAGCTTGAGTTTTAGACGAACGCGCCTCCTTAGAATCCTCGTCGAACCAGTCGACATGCTTGGTGGCGTCGTTTGTATCCGCGAGCTGCACTTTGCCATCACCGGTGGCGGTGGTCGCAGGTTCCCGATCGACAGGCTTGGTTGTGGCGGATGAAGCAGAGACAACCCCAGCACCCTTGTTCTTTCTGCGCTTTATCCTGTGACCAGATTCGTCTTCAGAGGAGGAAAAGTCGGAAGAATCGTCGTCTTGCGATGCGGGAGGCGGTGCTGGTCTTTTGCGAATGTTCTGACTGGCCTTTGCGCCACGCTTTTTGAAAGTGACAACCGGGGGTTGAGGGTCTACAGCCGCAGCTGCAGCTGTATCGTTTGTCGTCTCAGCCATTGTGATATGAGCGACGGGTCTGCGACGGGGATCTGTGAGTTGATGCGAGTTGAGAAATGACCAAGCACATCAAGGACGCGATAAACGTTGATGCGCCCGGATCATGTGATGATAAGATAGAGTTGTCGCTCACGTGATTATACATTTGCTGATGTCATCATCGAAGACGCGCGAAACTTCCTGAGTAACTTCTCATTATCAATTGAAAAAAATGAAGTTTCGTACACCGAGGACCAAATCCGCTAATTACCGTGTTTGCCTAGTGAGCGCCTTCAGCAGAGTTTATGCCCGGCGTCATGGCGCAGGTGCGTCAGCCTTGTGCTGCGCCACGGCAGGTGCCACCGAACTGGTGGTGAAGCGCAGATCATGTGTTTCCAGCATAAACTTGACGAATGCCGGGTGATTGGAATCGCGGATGAATGAAGTTTCTCCGAGCAATTGCTCATAACATTTGCCTGATTGGTTGCGATCATCATGACTTGATGCTTGACTATTGAGAGTGAGAAAAAGTAAAAGACCAAAAAGGCAGCAAAATTAAAAAAAAGATTTGCTCGATCTCGGGATCGAACCAAGGGTCCCGTGGGTTGTAGCCTTAACCACTGGGCCAATCGAGCACAACCAAGGTAAATCGGTGTTACTGCCGCATGCCCGACCATAGTAGTTAACTAGCACTCAGTCCAGTATGAGTAAGTAGAGTCCCTGCCTGCTTGACATGAACTTGGTGGATCCTGCTAAACTCTTCCGATCCCACGGTTCCTTCCCAAACTGGGGATCTTCGAAGAGGCGGTGCTCATCATGACTTCGCTCCGCCTCTGTTCGCGGAATAAATACCCTAGCCCTCTCCTCTCCCTGAAGCTTCCTCTTCCTTCTTAGTAACAGATAGATTCTCCTCTATTCCTATACCATCATGTATCCCCATCAGAACCGTATGTGATGCCCCACAATTGTCCCCGCGTTCCTGCATCATGCTGATCAAGCCCTTCATCACAGGCCCTCCATATCCTCAATTCACTGGCCCGCCGCAGGGCTACGGTCAACAACAGAACCCACCACCATTTCCTCCTCAGAACCAGCACCACATGGCCTCTCCACCTTACCCGTATCAGCCTGGCTACCCTCCCTACGGCGCTCCACACCCTAATCAGCCTCCATATCCTCATACCCCGCAAGGCGCTCCTCCAGGTCGACCAGATATGTACCATGGGGGCCCACAAGGATATTCGCAAGGCTTGCCTCCTCCACAGGGCGCTCCTCATGGGCCTCCTCAAGGCATGCCTCATGGATCGTTCGGTGCGGCACCTCCCTTGCCACCACACCCTCAATCTTATCCCCCGCTTGCGTCCGTGCCATCATTAGGCTACGTTCGGGGTCAGCAAGCAAACGGGGACTTCCGACCCCAAGCCGATCAGCTTCGTCGCGCAATGAAAGGCTTCGGGACAGACGAGAAGACCCTGATTCAGGTTCTCGCCAAGTTAGATCCTCTCCAAATGGCCGCCGTACGATCCACCTACACACACCACATCCGTCGAGATCTCTACAAGGATGTCAAAGGCGAGACAAGCGGCTACTTTCGTCGGGGTCTCCTAGCTATCATTGATGGCCCGTTACAGTACGATGTGGCCTGCGCCAGGGAAGCTGTCGAAGGCATTGGGACGAAGGAATGGCTTCTCAACGACATCCTTCTATCCCGGTCTAATGCTGATATGAACGCCATAAAGGCCGCTTATCACCAGACATACCACCGCGCTCTCGAAAAGGACGTTGAAGATGACTTGTCATTCAAAACCCGGAACTTATTTACCCTGATACTTCGCGCCTCTCGACACGAGGAATCAGCCCCATTAGACCCGCAACTCATCGAAGCAGAAGCCAAGTCCCTTCACCAAGCAACGGCGGCGCGAATGGTCAACAACGTTGATGAAGTATGTGGTATCATAGCCAGGGCCTCCGATAACGAGCTCCGTGCCCTCAATCATGCGTTCTATAATCGTTACAACATTCAATTGACCAAGCACATCGAGAAAGAGTTTTCCGGGCACATGAAGGATGCACTGCTGCATATGCTTGGGGCTGCGTTGGATCCGGCCATGCACGACGCTGAGCAGCTCGAAGACTGCATGAAGGGAATGGGAACCAAGGACGAGAAACTGGTGACAAGAGTGGTCCGCCTGCACTGGGCGCCTGGGCATTTGGACCAGGTGAAACGGGCATATCGCCATCGGTTCCATAAAGATCTTATCGAGCGGGTCAAGGGGGAGACCAGCGGTGATTACCAGCGATTGATGGTTGCTTTATTGCAGTAGCCGTACTTGCTATCGCTTTCTTAATGTTTACTTGACGAAACAGCCATGACTTACGACTGGGCAGGGTATGGTATGGTGCGGCTGGGTCTGTTTCTGCATTATCGTTATGGGCGATGATAGACTGGGCTGGATGGCTACTTCTTTTTGCCTTTATCTAGTTTACTGAATTGCGATGATTATCATCAACGCGGGTTAATTCTACTTAGCTAGTTCTTTCATCAATGAGACCATCAAGATTGTTTGCAATCTGTGAACCTATCCTATCATCAATCTTTATTTTAGATCTGTATTCAAAAGATTTTCACACAGAAAAAAGGCGGAAGAAGACGAGCACTACACCAAACACACAAAACACCTTAGATCGAATAAGTAGTACATACATCAAAGTTATCCATCTACTCAGAGCATATACAAAAGCACTACTATCTCATACCTTATTCCTTAATCATTGACTTATTCGTTCATTCATTTATTCATTCATCATAAAGAAAGTAACAACAACAACATCATATACTACATACAAAACATAAGTCATGAAAACATATCATCATCATCAGTCAGTCAGTCAGTCAGTCAGTAAACTCGTAAACAAATCACGCAGCAAAAGAACAGAGAACAAACGACAAATTCAATCAACAGCATAATATAAACCGGAACTGCCACCACCACCTTCATCATCAATCAAACCACCTCCCCCGCAACAAACACATGCGCCCCCGGAAACAACCCCGTCAATCCCGCATAACACCCCCAGTACCAATCATCATTGATATTCTCTGCTTCGGTGATTTCCGCTCCGCGCGGGAACATCAGTTCGTCTTTGACTCCGTCTTCGGGGTACCATGACCATAGGGCATGGACGACTAGGCCGACGCCGCCGTCGGGTGGGTAGCGGCGGGTGCCGGTCATGTTCATCGTATTGTTGGTAGTGGTGGTGGGGGATGAGATTTGTGAGGATATAGCTGGGCTGGATATAGTGAAGGGGGAAGATGTGGTGATGGTGGGTGTGCTTGGTTCGGAGGAGCGGTCACGATCACGATCACGATCACCGATAGTCCAGGGTCTGATCCGAGAGGCCTTTTTGCGGCGCTCGGAGCCCTCTTTCCAGCTCCAGTCGCCGGAGCCAACTTCAGGGGAGGCGATGGTGGAGTTGGAAGGGGAGGTGGTGGTGATTGGGGAGGCTGTTGGAGATGGGGCCTGGATGAGGTGGTCGTCGTTGAGGGCACGGCCGCCTACGAGGTCGCGGAGGATGACGCGGCGTTGGCCTTCTTCGTGGTCTTCGAAGCCGATTACCGCCATGCGGTGGCCTTTCAGGCAGCGGCGCCAGCCGTTGTGGCCGTTTTCTTTGCGGATTTTGCCGATGGCCACGAGACGGAGGTAGCAGTTGGTGCAGATGTCGTAGTCGCCGTTGTTGCATTGGAGGCAGTGGAAGCGCGGGGTGGAGTCGGGGATGGGGTGCGTGCAGATGTCGCAGTTTGTTGCGATGGAGAGGATCTTGTAGGTTTCGAGTGGTGGGGAGGGGGTGTTGTCAGTTGCGGTTGTGGTTGCGGTTGGAGTTGAGTTGCTGTCGGGTGGTATGCGGCAGATGGGGAGGAGGGCATGGGTGCAGCATCGTCCTTGGTTCACGCAGCGGTTGCAGAAGCCCCAGTCGCCTTCGTTGCATTGGTCGCACTTCCAGTAGCAGTCGTTCGCTGGGGATTGGCAGCTGTCGCAGAAGAAGCCGGTTGTAAGTCTTTGGGCTGGGTCGTCGGTGGTCATGACTCGTCCGTCTCGATCGGGTCGGTAGGCTATGTCTGGTGCTCGACGGTACTTGCACGACTGTAGGATGTGCTGCTGGGAGCTGCTGCGAAGTGGCGAGGGATGGCCACTTGAAGAAGCGATAATACGTTCAAAGTCCGCCTCTGCAGATTTGGCGAAGCCTGCCCATTCGGGACACCCTTCGCCGGTGCGATAGCATCTCAAGCACAGGTGGTATTCGCCATCATTGCATTTGGGACATTTCTTGTGTAAATCATATTGTATCTTCTCCTTGCCACATCGACTGCAAGAAATAGACGGTTCGCGGAACATGATAGCAGAGCGAGGCGCATTGGACCGGGACGAAGATGGTCGAGATCGCACCTCTGATCTGCCTGTCCCTCCCACCTCTGCTACCAAGGAACTGCTCGCAGGCACAACCATTCCCGGACTCGCTGGCCAGGAACCAATGTGTGTATTCTGCTCAGGAGCTGCAACCACCCGTGGTGAGTCGATGGATAATCTACCAGGAGCTCGTCGGATGGCACGTTCCCTAGCTCCTTCGACCCAGATGTTCGGTGTGCTCTGCTCAGATGCCGTGGCACGTCGAGAGCGCGGCGACGAATCCGTTCTGACTCGGGCAGCCTGCGAATTTCGGGGACGGTCAGTAACCACGTCACTAGACGATCGCGCTGCAGGCCTCAGCGTGACCTCCGACGAAGAAGCAGGATTCGCAGGCACCGGTGACGTTCGCCGACGGCTGCTGCCCTGATCCGACAACCGCCTCTGATGACCCGGATTCCCATTTCGTGCCACGAGCGGATCTAGTAGATGCGGTCTCGACACAGGAGGATTCCGGCTAGTCTCATTTTGCGTAGAATTTTCCTGTGGTCTCTGCGTAGAATGCGAGCGAGCCCGAGCCCGTGACGACGTCTGATTCGTCTCCCGCGCCTCCAATCGTTGCTGCGAGCGAGAGCGCAATCTATGCCTCCGACGATACGCATCAGCGATGCGCTCACTAAGCTCCTCTTCCTGCGCCGGACCCAAATTATCGAAGTCGATATCATCCAACAGCCCCTCCTCCAGAATCTGCCGTAGAATCTGATCCTGTATCGTCTCGGTATCCGACAAACTCAACAACGACCGCAAACTAGACTGATGCTCTATGCGTCTATTGCGCTCCGCAGCAGTCTCCCCTTGCCGTCGCCGCCCAGCACGCTCCTCTTCTCGCCGTCGTTGTCGCGCCCCATCCACCTCAGCACTCGATTCCGCGCGACGAGTCCGCGACGACTGCCTCGACCGGTGACCAGTAGTAGCACTAGTATTTCTCGACCGGACCCGACTTTCCTGCAAACTCAATTCCCTTACCTCCTCCAACAACCTCCGATCCTCATCATCCGAAACATCACCGCTCCGATCCGCCGACGGCAAAACAGGGAACACCGAATCACCATGTTTGTATCTCTGCGCAATCTCCTTCTTCTCCTCAGCCGACTTATCCCGACCGGGACTCGCCGCCAGGACCATATCTAGTAACGTAGTAACGGTAGCATTAGGGCGGGTTTCGCGGACCACCGCGCGACAAGACGGACAAGTGAAGCGGACGGAAGATGACGACCGGGCGCGGGAGGCTTGTGCAGAGAACCATTCTTTGAGACAGGAGCCGCAGAAGGTGTGCAGGCAGTCGAGGAGGGTGAGAGGCTGGTAGAGCAGATCCGTGCAGATCTGGGGTCGGAGGGGGGAGAGTTAGCCGGTGAACTTTAATAAACTGCACAGAAACATCCGAGGATTCGTCTTGCTGCTTCTGGTCTGTCTAGCATTTACTGGGAATAATTTCCGGCCAGTTATTTCGCTAGTCGATCAAGGCGAAGCAAGGGACGGTGAGATATTTCGTGGGCGGGGGAGTCGCAGACCGCATTCCGCACATCTCCTTCCCCCCACACTTACTACTTTCTGGATGGATGGATGATGGATTTACTTACCGAGCAGGTGAGTTCTTTCTCCAGGTCCCCTAGACCGGGACCGGAATGGGGGTCGGTCGACATGGGAGTATGCTGGGTGGAGAAGAGATGTTAGATAGATTTGTTGGATGTCATAAATGGGAGGAAAGGAAGAGAAAGAGATGAAGAGAAGTAGGAGTAAAAGGTAATTGACAGGGCGAGTAAACAGGCGGTGGTTGGAGAGCGAATCAATCGATCGGGCGTCCCGCGGGTCGATCGCGGCTCGGATCCACTGAAGAAACCAAGTTCATTCATTACCCATACTAATTAACATTCTACAACACTACTCAGTCACTAATCGCTATATGATGTAACAAGATACACGACTATTCTGCTTCTCACTCAGTCCTTGCCATATCCCTCCTTCTCCCAAAACCAATGATACAGACTCTTCGCACTACCATCATCCTCGACATAATCTCCCACCATCTCCGCCGTTTCGTTCGAATCCGCCAAATCACTGGAAGTCATATCCACCGTCACACCCCCAGCCTGGTGACTCAGGACTTCTTCCGTGCCACTCCGTGTTCTCTCGGCCAAATCACGAGCTCCCTCACGAGCAGCATCAGCAAACTCCTCCGCCTGTTCGCGAGCCCTTTGAAGTAGTTCCTCCGGGGTCGGATACCTCCGAAGCGCAATGAGCAGCAGATAATAACTCTTCACAATAGCCGAATACACCGCATCCTTCGCGAGCATCGTAAACCCATGTGAAAAGAACCCCTTGAGCACCTCCCCAGGAAGTCCAGCATAAAGCGCAGCAACACCCTCAGTGCGCGCAATCGCAGCCACGTTACTAACAATCGCCGGCATCAACGACACCCCTTCATCCTCCTTCTTCTTTTCCCCATCAGCTCCCACCGTAATCCGACTCCCCGCAACCTGCGCCCGCGTCTTCGCCATCGAAAACGGATAAGTCACCGACGAAGCAATCGACTTGCTAACGGCCGCCAAGAAGAACGTCGCCACAGCAGACGGTCTCTTCTGTCGCTGACTCCTCGGCAGCAACGCATACTTCAACACAGCATTCAGAAAGAACGTAATCGACGGATTCAATGTGAGTATCAACGAAGCCGAATACCCCGACCAGAACCCCCGTAATCCCTTCTCAGCCCTAATCCGCGCCGCAATCTCCCTCGTACTCCCACCACCAACATCCTTAGCCGTCTGCTTCCTCGCCACAATATTTGCCAACGGCGTCGTAAACAACTTGGCAAACGCCCCCGCCAAAACCCCCACCGCTAACTCATCCAGCACCGGTAAAACAGTATGTTTGCTGCGGCGAGTATTCCCAAACCGGGCGCGTATCCTCCGCTGACGAAAGAACTCGTACGCAAGGAAGAAGAGAAATGAATCCGCAACGGACTTTATCGTATCCTGCGCTAGACCCGTGTAGAAACTGGCGATTCCTTCCTCGGCGTAGATCTTGCGCGCTGCGTCGAGGACGCTGGTATATTCGGCGTCCGACGCTGATTCCTCCGACTTTGTACCCCTTCGCACTTTCTGCGTTTGCAAGCGCGCAACGATCAAACTCAACGGATACGTCGCGACGTTCGAGAGCGCGGAGCCGACTGCTCCCGCGACGGCATTGCCCAGCGCTGGAAGTGCAGGCCCGCTGAGAGCGGCGCGCTTCCAGTCGAGGTTCGGTTGGGGTTCTTCGTAGCGGTGGTAGAGCTGGAAGGAATCCTGTCATTTCGTTATTCTCGTTAGTCTTCTTCATATCCCATTCCATTCTATACCATAAGGATAAAAAGGAACATTAATGACATCATTCAATGACCTTACCAGCTCCGAATCATACTCCACCTTGTACTCCGACATATTGATTCCACTCGGCCCAAGGAATCTCCAAGTAGATAGTGACTGTGTTTCAGAGAATATAGACGAGAAATGAGGGAGAGAGGGAGAGAAGATGATCTACCAGGAATGTGCAGATTGACGGTTATTTAGTCAAGTGACTGACCGGATAGGACAATCAACGCAGGATGGCTAGTTAGAAGATGCATGTCGTGTGTGCATCAGACCACCCAGTCTTGCACATCACCCGAATACTAACTAGTAGGTAGTAGACAGGCAGGTACAGTGATATATGATATGATGTGATGGATGCTTGTGCCGACCGAGGTAAGTTCTCTCTTACTGTGCTACCGCATGCTTCCAGACCCTTACGTCATGTGGGAGGTGGCCTGTGCGGGGGTGCATGTGATCGGATGATTTTCTGCCTCCTACAGATTCCAGAACAATTTGGTAGGGGGAAAGACTTCCAGTTACGATGTCTGTGCTATATAGACAAATTACGGCTGGAAAAGCAAATATCAAAATTAAGTATCAACGATCATTCACGTGATATTTCGTCCATCAAGCCTCGAAGGGCCGTCTAGATACAATAATTTCGAATCCATCCATCCGATCCCATTAACAAGAAAATAAGCAAGTTGTAAGAGTATCAAACCCGTGGACATAATCCATTCCAATTGTAGAAAAAAAGAACCCCAGTTATCCCAAACCCCAATACCGTAACGAGTCAAAAGAAATAGCCCCCAGAAATCAGAAATAGAATGTACGGCGGATCCTGCCGGTCTAGTCCACAATCCAGTCGAAGGTTCACAACCAGAGAGACGACAAACACCAGCGCAGCGAATCCCTTCCGAGTGGTTGAAGATAATTTAACCACCGAACCCGTACAGGGTGCGGCCCTGGCGCTTGAGGGCGTAGACAACGTCGAGGGAGGTGACGGTCTTGCGCTTGGCGTGCTCAGTGTAGGTGACGGCATCACGGATGACAGACTCGAGGAAGGACTTGAGGACACCACGGGTCTCTTCGTAGATCATGGCGGAGATACGCTTGACACCACCACGGCGAGCGAGACGGCGGATAGCGGGCTTGGTGATACCCTGGATGTTGTCACGCAAGATCTTACGGTGACGCTTGGCGCCACCCTTGCCGAGACCCTTGCCTCCTTTTCCGCCTGTGAGAGAATGTTAGTACATGTTGAGTGATACTATGTTTAATTAATTAAGTGAAGGAGGTATGTGAGGGTGGAGTGAAGATCAGATGGAATCTTGGACACGACGCGTGGGCGTGACAGGTACGCGGTCACGTGTTGCCAGAGGTGCATCATCAAGATCATCCAAGATCATCACCACCATCCCAACCCGAGAGTAGGGAACGACGAGGAACTAGTAACTGAAGCAAGAAAAGAAGATTAAATACTTACGTCCAGTCATATTGCTGAGATGAGATTAATTGATTGGAAGAAGTATGAGATGGAAGGTTGATGGAAAGTGGTGGGTGGTTTGGCGTGACGCGTTGCGGGCCGATCGCTGAGAGGAAGAAAAGAGTCGAGAGAGAGCGAAAGAAGGTGGCGGAGAAGGAGGAGCCACCGGTTTATATAGGTTTCGCGGTGCGGGCGGCAAGCGAGAGCGTGATCTCGCTGCTTTGCCCCTTGGAGTGAATGACTAAGCTCCAGAGGGTGATCTGGAAGGGTCAAAAGCAATGGAGAAGCCTGATTGGCGGGCCGCGGGGGTAAAAAAGGGCGTTATGAACGACCGCTTTCGAGGTGGTGATTTTGCGGGTTGCGGGTTGGCGCTGTTCCCGCTGGGGACCAACTTCTGCTGCTGCCCGCGCGGCTCAGGCCGTAAGGCGGCCGGTCCGTCACGTGAGACTTGGCGGCCGGGTGTCACTTCCTCCGCCATATACGCTGTACAACATACATGGATTCTACTCTCTACATTGGTGGCAAACTTGCATCTCTCGCAATCTAATTCGTTGTATTGTGTACCATTGCATAATTTGGATAGCAGCTACACGCGCTTCACGGACCCTCCCTGGAGCACAGAAATTCGAATAAAAATGAGAACCCATGCACCACCCACCCTTAGCAAAACTTGGAGAAATCATGAGCGTAGAGAAAGAATTAAGACATAAGGTACAGGAAACAGAATAATTCATGCTCCGAACACCATACAGAAGATCATCATTGACGGAAGTAGATGACGAAAAACAATGATGCAAATGCGTTAGACCACTTCAATGCGAACACTTTTCCTTGCTTCGCCTCCTCGCTTCCCTGGAAATGCTGCGCAGGAACCTACCATGCATCCCATCCACTCAGCAAAGGTAGCCCCGGTAAATAACTGACAAAAAATAACTGCAAAGGAAAGATACAAGACATCAAATCGTAATCGTTACTGTAGCAGAATCGTAGCCGCGCCCCAATGTATTGGAAAAAAGCCCCCCTGTGTTGTATAGGTAGGAAACAATGCACCTCCCAGCATAACGTCAGATCCCGCGGTTTATAATACATCGCAAAGGATCCTCGTAGATACTTAGGCGGACGCATCAACAAAAGTCGAGTCGAAGATGGGAACGAGGCGGCTTCACGGACACCAGGTGAGCAGGTCGGGTTGACAACTGCACTGTCGTTTAAGAGTTTCAAGTCATGCTTGATAGCCTTCAGAAAGCTTATACCCACTGGGGTAAAAAGAGAAAGAGGGAAAAAGAAAATTTCGTGTCTTCCATCGACGGAGGGACACAGAGACATGTAGAAAGCAAAGGACGTTCGCGTTGTGATCTCGTAGGCGGCGGGGTCTAAAGCGCTTGTGCATCTTCGTTCATCCTTGGATGATAGCAGGTGTCTGCGTATCCTTCATAAAACTGTTTTGCATAGGCTGAAGATATGGATATCCGATATGGTTCGGTGACGACGGAGCGGCAGGGGAGTGTCGAGTATCACCACCATAGACCCCATCCATGGGAGGAGATGAGCAGGGAGACACCGAGCTGGAACTGCTACTAGACCCCGTCCGGGTTTCATAGTCCGGACTTCCCGTGACGGGACCAACTGCACCACTTGGGTAATTCATCGATCCGGATCCGAAGAAGCAGTATTTATCAACCAACTCTTTATACACCGACGACTCGCGATGCGGCTTGCCAGAAACGATGGTAGAGGGTTTATGGTGGTCTGAGGACCCTGGTTGCTGGCTACCTCTGCTAGGCAAAGGTGCGTTCTCCTCCTTGTGGCTTGCTTTCCGTTCCGACGAATGGCCGTGACTACCATGCGACGGGAGTTTCGATTTTGCTCGAGCTGTCAATGTCGTGCGATCGTGAGTAGGTTTGGTCCGCATGGCTGCCGACAAGGAGGCTTCGAAATCGTAACGATTTCCAAAGACCTGATGGTTCTGCTTATCGCGACGTATCGGAGCCACCATTTCAACATCATGCGGATCATCATCACCCAAATGTTCCTTCTTGCCATTCGTTGGTGGGTTGCCGAACGAGATGTACTTGTCCATCTCGGACAAGGCATCAAATGAAGGCGGCATTGAGTGTGGGCGACTGTTGGATCCAGCAAAGCTCCTGCTCCTAGGCAAATTCGTACGAGGACGTGCGGAGGGAGGAGCACGGGCCTGGGGCATTTCCTTTTGTACCCTGCGGAAGTTGACTTGGTAATTTTGTGAGTTGTTGTTGTCCCAGTACTCCTCTCCAGCGACATTGTAGCGAATGCACACAAACATGGTTTTCCTCTCCAAATTTGCTTGGTCATCCAGCCGGATGCTGAAAGCAAACCTGTCATAGCCATCCTGAGTAGGCTTCCGTCGGGGGTCATCATTGTACTCGGCTGAGACTTCAGAAACAGTCTTCCAATGGTCGAGAGTAAACCGAGCAGCAACGTGCTTGTGGAAAGCCAGGTTGGCAACCCCAACGACGCCGATCATGGTGTTTTTATCCGAAGACAAGTGCAGGCGTTCCAATCGAACGCGTTGCTTAGCCCGAGAAGGGCTGTCTTTAGGAAAGTTCGACAGACCAAGCTCCCATTCAAAAGCGGGCATGTCCCGATGACCCTTCTTGAACGGAAACTCCTCTGCTGCGTCATAGTCTTCCACTGGCGATGTGTCTGCACTTACGGCTTGAGGCTTATCCAATTGCAGGAAATGACGGATATGTTCCAGCTGAGCGTCGAAGTGAACCGCCTTTGCGTAAGTTGGAGTCCCCGGCATGCTAGATGGGCGCCGCCGAGCTGAAGGTGGGCGAAGAGCTGGCCTCACCAGTTCCCCAGACTTCTTGCGGACCATAGGATGTCTGACCGGGGGCTCGTCATCTCTGTCACTTTCTTCTGGAGAGCTAGTCAAAGCCTCCTCCTGTCTACGGTCAATTGAGGTTTCTGTAACCGATCGAGAGTGGGAAATCTTGCGAGCCTCTCTGGAGAGGGGCGGCCGTGGAGGTTGAACAGGGCCACCAGCAATGGCTGCCATGCTCGATGAGGACTGCACCTCCGACAGCTGTCTCTCCGGCGAGGACACTCGTCTCTGCTCAATGGACCTCACAGCAGCCTCCAATTTCTTCAGCTGGAGCCCGTCCTGGGATGGGTATGACACCTCTTCATCACTTGAATTGTTGGCAGATTCAGGAGGTGAGATCAGAGCCCCAGGAGGGATGACAGCATCACTTATGGGAGGCGGTGACGTTCGAATACTGGCATGAGGGTCGTTGACATGATCCACTTTTATATGACCTTCGGGCTCTGGAAAGACAAAGACCTTGCTACTTGAAGGGCTTCGTCGGTGCCTTCGCACATATGAGGTGGAAGAATACGAGCGAGGCAGGTGCTGGCGTTGATGGTGAGAGACGACAGCGGTGGGAGAGCTAGGACAGGATTGTGGAGTGAGTTCAGAGTGTTCAATGTGCTGCGCGGAAGGCGACGTCTTCAACGGCGCAGTGTATGGCATCCGGCCGGGAGTGCTTGTGTAAGCAGACACAAGAGTGGGCAATGAGGTGGAAAATAAGATCGACAGGGTGGTGAAGCTCGTTTCAGGATAGGTCTTTATGAACAGAAGGCTTCTGGTCCTGAGAAACGGCGTCTGTTGATATATTCTAGTTTCCCCACGTTAGCCAGAGTGTGGAGGCGGCGCCTGGAAACGATATCAAACAGTGGCGAGGATGATGAGCAGCAGCAGCAGCATTGCCTCCACATGGGCGATCATATCAAGAAAAGGGAAGATGGAGGGCCGATGTTACAAATCATGCCAGACGGTCGGTAAAAGAAGAAGAGGAAAGTGGTGTGACTGGGAGGTCAGGGTGTTCCAGGGTATCAGAAGGAGCGTTGGAGGCAAAGCCGGGGGCGGAGGGCGGATGCAGCCAACAGGGTGTTACGAGACAAGAGATCCCGGGCAGTGGCACAGATGAGAGCAACGATCAAGATCCCAGACACACAAATCATCGCTGAGATTTGCATTGGAGACAGTTGGGGGAAGAATAGTAGCCATGCGATAAGAGGGATTCACGAAAGAAAAGCACGAGGTCGACTCGACGAATACACTCACCTTGCGGACTCGACATCTAGTATGAACTGAACGTGGAAGAAACTACAAACATGAAAGAAAAGAGTAGGAGGAACAGAGAAGACAAATAAGAAGCTGGGCAGTGTGTCGAACAGCCGAGCAGGGAGTAGTTTCCAGCACAGTGAAGAGGAATTAGATACAAAGAAGTTCGTGGTGAATCGAAAGAGAAACGGGCGATAGATGGATGGGTAATGGAGTATATGAGAAGGTGACGGAGTGGAGAAGAGAGCAAAATATTAGGGTAAGCCGCACTTGACGGGGAAAGAAAAAAAAAATTAATTAATTTAAAAAAGGGAAAAAAGAAGAAAAAGAAAATCCAAAAGAGAAAATAAGCATGGAAGTTGGAAAAGAAAAATAAAAATAATCCCAAAGGAAAAGAACCTCTCAGGAATGATATTGATAAGGGAGCTCGGACGTCAAGAGGGATCGAAGGCAAGGAAAATTCGGTACGTCCTGGTAAAGTTGGTAACCTTCAGCCAGGGAGGGGCAAAGAAACAGAAGGGAAAATCCACTGCTCGGATTTCCCCTCTCCGTCACTTTCTACTTGCTTTTCCCCTGAAGGAGAAATGAATGATACCTGTTTGGTGAAGGGGAAGAGGTCTGTTCACCTTGATTCATTTCCTTATTTATTTCTTTCTATTTATTTATTTAATTCTGTATTTTAATTTATTTATTTTGTTATCAGAGATTGACTCCCCCTCTTGTATTTCTCTAGTCTTTCATGCTTCAGTTAGGGAGGGATGGGGAAGGGGGGGAATGTTTCGTGATGACGACCGTTGGAAAGAAAATAAAAAAGACAAGCAGAAGAAGAAGAAGATTCCCTGCCGCGTTGCCGCCGTACCCGGAACAGGACGGAGGGCAATGAGAGGATGATGATGGCGGCGGGCGGAGGTGGTATTAGCGGTAAATACGGGTGCTGGGACGCTACTAACCAACTTAAAATAGGCGATCGAACGGTCTGGGACTGGAGACGATCCCTCGCCGGCCAGTCAGTGCGTTCCGGCCCGGTGGGTCCTTGGTAAAGCGATATCTCGGTCCTGCCTGTAGAAAGTGTCGTATGTCGAACTGTCTGGTAGCAAATTGGTTCCATCATGGAGGGTGGTGATTGTCTGATTGACTGAGTTGAAAAATTGAAACCCTGCCCGGCTTTTTCGCCTCTCCGATCGCATTCTTTGCCCGGCCGGTACCTTGGACCCGGATGGCATCATTGGCTGCTTATCTTCCTATCATATTCTCTCCTTGGACCTCATGGAGGTGAGAAACTGAGGACAATCAATATCAATGAATGCTACCATCGTAGTAGAACAACTATGGATTGTTTTTCATAGATAAGACACAGACCCATGCGATAGATGAATAGAATGATGGAAAAGCACCTAATCAGTCCACAGTACATGTGGCTCAAGGTGGAGGCCAGGTGATCTTCAAGGCTGCATGTCCGGAGTATTCCAGTCCACTTTGTCTCTGTCGGTATGTGTGTAACGATGTATGTGCTACTTTAGTATGATGTACGTGCTCACTAGGAATGCCCAGGATCAAGGCATACGTGCATCCTTCCGGTCTTTTCCCTTGATGTCGCCATACAAATCCATCACCTCCTTTATGATACCATTGATTTTAATTTATTTTTTTATTACTTTTCCCCTTCCCACTCCGCCATTCCCTCATACTATCTACAAAACTTGAGACAGACCCCATCTCTAGTACTACGTAGTAGCCGCTGGTGATCCTTTCCGGAGGATCTGTTTTTCTTATCAGCAGATGATTAGTTGACTTGATCTGTTCCATGGAAGTAGTTATCTCACCGATAAGCCAAGTTTGGTCCTGAAGCCGTCCCCGACCGAACATGTTCAGCAGTAAGAGTAGGTAGATGACTACTAGTCAGTAGTAGTGAGTCTAGGTACGTCCGACCGTGCGGTTTTACGTATGGCAACCATGGTCCCCACCCCCAGCTTTCTTTCTCCCTCTCACCCACTCTTCTTCCTCTTTTCATTCATCCCAATTTCTCTGGTTTCTTTTCCCTCCATTTCTTCTACCTTACGGGATGTTTCCAGTCTTTCAGGCCCTCCCGTAGCGCCAGTCTAAATTTGCCACCGCCCAACCAACGGGACCGGAAGTGGTTTTTCACTAAGGAGGCCTGGACGGTCTAGAGGCGGAAATGTTGGGGAGGCTAGTGAATATCCAGCTAGTACTGAAGTCAAGTTCTGTCAGTTAGTCATATCTGTGGGTGGTTGCGATCGGTCGGTCTATTAACTCCTAACCACCCCAACTCCACTGAATATGTCTGACATAAAGTAATCTGAGGATATATTAACCTACGTTGGTTGACTAGTGAGTCTAGTTTAGTACGATTATAATTATAACCTCGCCTGAGAATCCAGTGGGTTTTAATTGACTGATGCGCAACCTACATAGGACGCACATTAGTAGAGCGTAACGCCAGGGGGGAGAGGGTGGGTTGCGGATGCAGACCTGTCCCTTTGCTTTGTCAGTGCGCGCACGTTCACACACACTCTCTCTCTCCTCACACACTCACATCTCTTCTCTCTTGTCTCTTGTCTTGTCTTGTCCTGCAACATCCCATGTTTTGCTTGATTTTCTTGAGACACACTTGTGCTCTTCGCACGAGGGTTGGTCGATCACCATCTTCTCCGCCTTTCAGACTTTGAAGGATAGACATTCTAGACATTCTAGACTGTCTCCTTTTCTTTGCTTTTTTTCTTCTTCCTTTCACCGGGGTGGGTCCTCCCCAAACATGCATCTTCGTAAGATGTCTGCATTGCCATGCTCAGATTAATGATGAGAAGTGACCAATTTCCAGCCACATTGGTCGACTTGTAAGCTAAAAATTGCTACAAGTCATTTTTTATAATATGCTGATGGAAGATTGGCGCCGTCTTTGTTACTTTTCTGGAGGGACGCGGGGGCTAGGGCCGAAGCGGCTAGTAATTGCGGTACCCACACCGGAGGCAGATTACTACTAGTACTAGACTAGACTATAACTAATATACGGAGACTGGGTTGGGAAGTGGATATGAATGGATAGCTGCCCGGTCGCTTAGCGCTACTCCAACGACCCATTTCCAAGGCACCTTGCCAGTATGACATCAGAAAAGATACTTTTCCCTGAGTGTGAGTGAGAGAGTGAGAGAACCTCACTTGATACTTTCTTCTCTCCCTCCCCTTCCTTTCGCTTCCTTGCCCATTCCCATCGAATCGCGTTGTCAGGTCAGTCGTCATGCTGAAGGTCTGCACGGACCACGGGAGAATTTAAAAGACTTATGCTGCAGCGCTGCCTTGATCTGGCCAACCGAGTGTCCGCGCTATCCTGCACACGGAATTGATGGACCTCTCCAGAGAAGAAAAAATTCAAAAGGAAGTTGGCTGTGCGCAGCAACTCTTGGCTTCTAGCATCGGGAGTTTTTAGTGACCTGGTCGACGTCGCATTTCTTGGCTGCCGCTGCGCATGGACGCTTAACATTATTATCCACCACCCATTTCCCAACTGACTTAGGAAAATTCTGTATGGATTTGGGTTTGTATGTAGGGGGAGGAGAAACAGCAGCAGGTATCCTTATCATCCCCAGCCCTGGTGCAACGGGCTTGCATAGACATCGGGAGTTGATAATGCACTCCCCCTTTGATATTGAGCAATTTCGGTTTCTAATCGAATCTTCAGATGAGTGTTGCATCGCTTGTGTAACGGCCTATGTCGGAGAGAGCCACCCCGGTCCGATGCTTGGACACTCTTTCTCCCACCCCCTTTCATCTCTTCATCGAGGGGGAGGGGGGGGGGACTAATTCGGTGGCTAAATTCAGGGTGCATTCATTGACAGAGGGCTATTCGGACGATGACTGGCTCTGAAGCTGCTGTTCTCGCCCCCATCGCGGATACTCATGTCTGCGGTAGCCTCTGGTCTAGATACTACTAGGTCTCATCTAGTAGGAATCCGCGACGCTTCGATGCCACGGGCCTATGGGCTCCTCCTCCTCCTCCTCCTCCTCCCTGCTCGCACGACCAGCATCGAGCGAGCGCTTGTCTCACTTTCCATCCGGGTCTTATCATGGCTCGACTCACCGCACGGCAGGGGCGGCGCCCCCCTGGCCGACTTTAGTAGTTCTCAACTCAATTCCTGTGATGGTATCGATTGGCTGCGTGTCTGATTTGCCACCGGGCATGCAAGCCACAGCGGATAGTCATTAATTGGTGGTCCATCTGCTGGGTGCCATGATGGAAATCATATCGGCAGGATCTGGACGGTCAGTGAGAGGACATTGGTTGGGGTGGTGGTGGTGGGGTTTGACAGTGATAGAGAGAAAGATATCTTGAAGCCACCGATCTTGGCTAGACGGGAGCGATGATCGGGCCTCGTTCGATGGAAGTCATGTAATGTCGTTCCGAACGCGTGAGGTCCGGATGGCGCAGTTCTCATTCGACGAGCGCCGGCATCTCTTGTGCAGCTGCAGAACCGCGCTAGTGTGGCTCCTCGCCCCCGTCGTCTCAGCCTTTCGCGTTCCTCCTTCTCCCTCAACTCTCCCATCTTAGCTCTGCCCATCAAAGCCTATCACTACTAAACTTGTTTGCTTCTTGATGGATTTTATACTATTGTCTATCTTTTTCCATACAGCTTACCGCGCAATCGAGGAAAAAGCTAGACAAACAAAGGACAAATGCTGGTTTTAGGGCTGGTCAGATCCCACTGCAGAGGAAAAAGGCCAACAACAATGCCTTTCTTATTCAAAAATCCGCTAGAACCCCTCGAGGCAATTGACGTGCGTGCTCCTCATCTCCGACATAACGCCATCAACGCCCCTTGAAACTAGCTGAGTTTGAGCACTGACAGGACTAGCTGTCCTCGGACGACTAGCTTCTGCCTACGACTGACGCTACAACGGCCGGTCGAGCGCCCGAGCGGGTAATCGGCGCCGATTAGCACAGCCGTCCTCCTTGATCGACAACCCACGCTCCCCCCGAAGTTCAAGCCCCAGCGCTTGAGGTCCTCTATTTTTATGGTATCTCCTCTTTTCGCTACTTCTGACAAAGATACACGTTCCGGAGACGTTAAACTTTGTATGAATCTGGACGTGCATATCACCTAAAGGCGGTCTAGGAAGTTTACACTACTCTCTGCTCGTATCTACTGCGAAGCCGGGCGGGGAAGCTCGCTGCTAGCGGCAGGGTGCAACATAACGGATGTCAGATTGGCTCGTGGGCCAGCTCAGAAACTCTTATCGCTCCGGCCCACCGCGGAGTCTCTGCACGCAAACGGCTTGCTTCTTCCTGTCCGATAACCGCTGCGGTCTCGACCCATGGGCTGCGTCGCAAGCTTCTCAACTCCGCACTCTCTCTCCCAAGAGCAGTGGGGAAGCTGTGCCGCCCACGATGGCTGGCGCAGCAGAACCTCAGCTGGAGACCCCACGGGGAAACCGATCTTCGCGCGAGCCTGCTTGCGTGCTTGCTGCGTATCTTCGTTGATGCCTCTTGTGATCGGTACGATACTTCCTCCATCGATCATTCATCGCGACCATTCTTGGGACTCGCATGATGACGGCTATGCTGTGCATCACGATGCAGGAACTCTCCTGTATACTATTGACAGGCCGCTGCGGCTATTGATTCATCGGTTCTTACTATAATCTACCTACTGACATTTCCGATCAACAATAACATGCTTGGCACGGGCGTCACCCTGTCAATACCCGATGGTCGCAACTTCATCCGTAGCCGTGATCCTGAGAAGACAATACCATAGCCTCTGAGAGCGATCACGTTCCGTTTCACCATGCAGCTCCTGACCACCTGATTGTTGATCGCCAGGGTACGGCAGAGGAGTTGGTACAGTTCTGCTGTGGATTCTAAACCGCCCCTAGGCCCTTGGCTCAAGGGACTTGTGGGGTTCTCTGAGCGGGCATCTCTCGTGGCTCGTACAGATCCAACAGGTTTACGCAATTCATATCGGCCCGCGCGGCTGTCTGTTCATGTTGGAGTGTCAAACACAGTCTTTAGCAATGTGAACAGACGGCCGAGTATCATTATTTCAGCATCTATATGGCGCACATGAAAGCTGTCAAACACGGATCGGTCGGAGAACTATACCTGCGTTGGAAATCTGGCCGTCATGTTAGGTGTCGATGCCACATAGGGCAAGCTCACTCGCATTAGTAACGTTCTACACAAGCGTGAGCGAGTAATAGCACAGCATACGATCCACCCCACGGTTTCCGATCGCCCCGACTGCGCCCTACCAATATCTTTCTTGTGTACACATGACAGCCATACCCATGACCGGCCTAAGCTAAGAGCCACCTCCCTCCCCGCTCTTCAGATTGACCTTCATCGAGTGATATCGGATGGTCCGATGCCAATTTCGGGGGCGCCTCATTAGCCCGGGTGTAGGTCCTCCGCCGCACAAGCCGAGTAGTAATGCCACTGGGCCGGGGTCCGTCGAGCACAGACACTACCTTGGCCAGTGGGAGCCAGCGACGGGGATGTCAAACATGCCATTGACTCGGACTAGGCACTGTCCGAGCGCGCAACCCCTCAGTGGACAACAGCCCACGACGCTCCCCTCTTCCAGAGGCAGTGCTATTGGGTATCTGTTTTGGGGGCCCAGGGTGGACTAGTATACCGATGAAAACAATGTTACCGGTGAGGTAACAGGAGCATCCGGTTCTAGATCCCAACACGACCCCAATTCACTATGGTAAGTTCAACTTATTTCCTCTTTCACCATGACCAGAGTCTACCTACAACACGTCGCTCAACTCTTGCCGCGAATTCAGCTTCATTTTGATGGACATTGCGGGGTACAAATCACACAGACCGGACAACCCTGGTCCGCCAACTCATCACCATGTGCGACCATCGCGGTATCGAACCTTCTCCGCGGCCATCCCAGTCCCCATGCGACCACACATGTTAGGTTCTCACCACTTTTGTCTACCCCCTCTCACACCCCGATCACGAGCCATGGCACACACCACCATCTTCAACAAGTTCCAGCGAGCCAGCAACAATCCTAATACAACAAACCCCATGAACCAAGCATTACACCAAGAAAGTCGAATGCCCTCCTTACCTATCTTCCAGAAACCTGGAGAAGTATTTTGACTGATTGCACAACTCCTATGCCAACACACAAGGTAATCTACGCGACATGCATCCAACGCCACAAAAGCAAAACCAAAAAGCGAATATTTACTCATACATGCTCGACATAATAGCGCATCAACGGTATAGCCCAGCTAATGTCCCTCAAAGCCACAAAATGCACCCCGACGTAGTCCAAGAAAGTTAACTAGGGAGCTTGCTCCCATTAGCCACCACCACCACCACCACCTCTATCATGATTTACATAGTAGCTACCCATTCTACCCTCCTAGCATAGCCATCGCCACAAACAACACCTCCTTCACTCTTTCTCCTTCTTTCTCTATTCAATAGACTCATCATCATCATCATCATCATCATCATGCAAGAGCAATCCGATCGGTCGCTCACCTTTCCCCCCCTCGCCACAAATACAAACAGTTAACCTACTACCTGAATAATATCACAAACAAACTATAACCCCTTACTTACTGTACGTCAGTCTGCATGTAGGTAGTATGTAGTCTGCCACAGTGGCAATGTCACCTCACACCTACCAACTACTACTACATTAATAGACAGGAGATATAATCCGGATCCATTCAACCCACTACTACTACTGATCTCATATTGACTTCAAGCGGCGGAAAACTAACTGATCGGTCGGTCGGGCAGACGACATTGCGATGGGGGTAGCAGTAGGTGCTTATGCACTGACTGACAGATTCAGACTGAGCGAATTCTTTGAAGAAAGTCAAACTTATCCTTACTAGGATTCAACTATTGTGAACAAAGGTACCGCTATTAGTAGCTCATAAGAGTGACCTAGTATTGGAAATGTCATTGCCTGATCGATGGATGGATGCATGCATGGTATGTTTGATAGCATCGGTGGTACTATGATTATCAGCCTGCTTAGGTACTATTTAGGAGTCATTAGTTCTCAGTTAGTTAGTTATAAAAGTTGTTGTTATTTTTTTATTATCTGACGAAGTGCCAGATAGTTACTATGTTTCATGTATCAGGAATACAGATGCCTGGAATAGGCAACAGCATGAGACAAGGAGATGGATAGATATGTTACGTTTACTGATTCAGATGTGTGTTGTATTTATGATGTAGGTGTCACGAATATAGTCAGTGTTGTAGTCAGATTTGGAACTTGAATGAAATATGGAATCGAATTGAAAGGAAAGAAAGGAATAAAGTACCGTTACCCATTAAGCCTGCTTTATGGAGGGCAAATAAATAAGTACAGATGGGAAATTCGAAGTTGAAAAAGAAAAGTCAACGCCAGATTGAACTTTGTTAATATAAATAAAAATGTAATGTTCAGACAGCCGCCCCAAGTCCAGCTTTAAGACTGAAAGATGATCCAAAACAACAAAACATAAAGAAAATAGAAAAACACAGTACATGCACAAGGTATCATGTTTCATAATCAATCAAGCAATCTGTTTTTGTCTTTCCTGGACCCTTTGACTCCCGTATCGTAAGAGTGACAGACATCATTACATAGGTTGTTGTTGGTTGGTTGGTTGGTTGGTCGGTTGTGCAACAATAGCGACAGCATTATCATAAAGTCATATCATATCGGTCGTCACAAAGAATAATAAGTCATGAGCATTACTGCTACACACTTGCCGTTCGTCGCTTTTCGCTCGGTTTCTGTGTATATGCGATCCACAGGCGGAAACCAGTGCCGCGCTGTTGACATTCGCGGAGGATCTTTCTGTCAGACCAGATGCTAAGGGCAACGTCGCCGTTGGGGAGCACAGGAATCTCATAGCATCTGGTGTACCACCATCGACCAACCTTAGCAACGATCTTCCGAATGGATTCGTCGTTAGAAGGCGAGGGGGAAGGGTCCGAGAGGAGATCGCCTAGGGATAGGTCCGTGTCGTTGGAGGAGGACTTTCCATGCGCCTTTGCTTTCGCTTTGGCAGCTGTTGACAGGCCTGTAAGGGGGGATACGGTGGTATTTGGGGAGGTTGTTGCAAGTATGGTGGATGGATTTGATGATGAGGTGGAGGTGGAGGACGCTGATGATCGGACGATCATTCCAGCAACAGGGATCCGTACCATACATCGTCGGAGGTTGTCAAATTTATGGCGCCCTAACAGCCGTTGAATGCTGTCGCTTGCAGGTTTGAGGCTAATATTTGCGTCGGATGTGTACGTCCGTTCCTTCAGGGTCCTTACGGCTTTTCGCGTGCGGATTCCCATGTTCACCATATCCAGGTCGAGGATACTCATTTCCAGATAACCACCTGCGCGAAGGACGCGCTTGCATTCAGAGATGATATTATCCTGCGCCTTTTCGGAACAGGCAGCTGGGAATCGTAAAACAGCCACCGCGAAGAAGCCCCTTGGGAAAGGCAGCTGATCATCGAGACTCGTGTGTTGAATGGTGTGGTGGTTTGATGGAGGCTGCCATGCTTGTGGGTGCTTGGATGCAATTGGTTTTGGCCCGTCAGTAAGACTGTACACCTCCGCGTTTGGATATGTCAAAGCACAGTAGAATGACCAATCATCATTTCCCAGTCCATCGACCACCAGGATACGTTCTTGGTCAGACCCTTTGGCATGGTTGTGTGCTGGACTAAAGAGGACTCGCCCAAAGGAGAGCCACCGGCTTGTCATCAGAGACCCAGATCGGATATTGGTATGAGCGGTGGGCCCTTCGCGATCGCGTTCTGCGATGTCGAAGAGAACGGTGTTGCGCTGTCGACAGATCTCGAAGCTCGGTGATGTAGCCAGGGCTGGTGAACTTAGTAAGCCTGACTGTTGTTCGACTATTGGATTTGGTGCCAATAGCTTGGCCTCTACCTCCTTCTCCACTATGCTACTCTCGCTTCGATCGTCACAGTAACTAGCAATGATCTCACTGTACGAAGGCTGAGATGACGGGACCAAAGACGAATGTAGCTCTGCAACAATTCTGGACCTTCGAAGCCTGACAGAGCCAGTGCTAGATCTAGGTGACGAGGCCGTAAGCTCGACTGCAGGTTGCTCAGATGGTGCAGACATTCCTGGTCCCCCGTTTATCTCTGCCTGCAGAGTCTTGCTCGCCATGGTCGCTAGCTCAAGCTTGTGATCTACCTCGGATTCGGATTCGAAGAGCGTGCTTGTCGTTTGCGGGGAAAGAACATGGTCGATTAAGTCATCATATTCACCCCATATTTCATCCTCAGTCAACTCAGAATCAGGACCTGGCATGACGGCCGTTACAGCAGCGAGACTGTCAGAGCCACTAGAAGTAGACAAAACGGAATCCTTTCTGGGTGAGAATCGCATGAACTCTTCCTTGGAGTAGGGCCCGGCAATGAAGTCTAAGACACTACCTTTCAAGGGATCCTTGAAAGGATTAGTGAGATCAAACTTGTAGTCAGATTTGCCGGGAAGTGTAGGATAAAGAGGGCCCTGTGTGAAGATGGGTGAAAACGAGATACCACCCGAGGTCTCAGCAACCGGGGCAGTCAAAGACGGTGGTGATTGAGCCACACTGAATGGCCTTGAGAAGGACTGTACAGCCGGCTTGTGCGGTCTTTCGCGCCTTGAGACTACACGTGGGATGCGCCCAACGGACGTCAGGCGACTTTGGCGCTCCCCTTCTGGCTTTACCTCTGGGCTTTGTGGTACCAGGCTCTTGTTGAAGTACACTTTCGGTGACTGAGGCTGATCTCGAAATATGGCATCGTGTAGTTTTGGTGGTGATGGTAGGAGAATGGATTCCGGTGTTTTCTTGATGTTTAAAGCAGCTGGTACTTCCACTGGGGAGCTGAGTTCGTCCTCCTCAGTGGGTGGTGAATTCTCCACGTTGTGTACGATTTCTTCCAAGGGATCAGAGTCCATGTCAATTAGGGCGTAGTGTGCAATAGGTCGGTGCACAGGCGCTGGAGCCACAGTCGCATGAAGATGAGGTGCAGTACGGGATTTTATCTTTCCTTCTTGCTTTTCGGGTTCTTGTTTTCTCTGGAAGAAATTCCACTTCAAGCCCAGGCCTCGCTTTGTCTGTTTTTGTGGACTTTGCGTGTCTACCGGTACTTTGGGACGCATAGGACGAACTTCAAGGTTCGATTGATGTAAGTCCTGGATTGAAGAAGCTGCAGGCGCTTTTGTGACCGTCGGACCTGTCTGTGGGCGCGAATATGCCACCCTTTGCTGTTCAAATGAGATCTGATGCTTCATGCCCTTAGTGGTCGGCTCCACTGAGTCTGCAGATGCTCGAGAACTAGCGAGTGTCTCTGTAGAGCAACCGGGAGACTCGGAAATTATAGACGGCTGCGTCAAGTTTGAGGTAGATGCTGTACTGAAACCACTTGTGCTTTGCTCGCTTGGCCTCCTCTGAAAAGCAATCCCATCCACATTCCCACCCCTTATGATCACTGGCTCGAGGCGACCGAGTAGAAAGTCGTCAAGGTCTAGCTCCGGCCGGCTTCTAGTGCTACCCTTGCTACTGGCAACCGATTTAGGGCCGCTTCTGGTCGTGCTTGTCGATCTTGCTCGGCTAGTGCTGCTGCTTACGCTTGATCTGCGGCCGCGCTGAGCATATCGGCCGTAGCCTTCATGTCCGGTCCCAGCAATTGGACCCTTGCGAGCTGAACGACCTTCACTTCGTGCATCCAAGTCCGGTTTGGACCTCTTCGTGAAGAGGCCAAGTCCTCGTGACTTTCCTGAGGCCACGGAATCATGCTGTAGCTTTTCTTCCTTAGCTGGTTGGCGAGGCGACTTTCGCGATAGCTCCGGAGATGCTGGTACACGGGTCAGGGAGGGTGCCCTTGCGTGCAGTGAGTCGATTGAGGTGGCTGCAGACCTATTCAACCCTGGACGTCTCTCTAAAACGGGTGACCTTTCGATTGAGTCTCGACGTTTGTGGCCCGTCACCGTTTTGGGCGATATATTGCTCTGCACTACAGGTGACGGTTCCAGTATTAACTGGTGAGTACCATCCCTGGTCGGCCTTTTGGGTATCTGGAGAGGCTTCTCAAGCAAATTTGCTCGTACTTTATCTGCGTGAGACATGACCCGTGATATCCTTTTCTCCTCTACCTTTTGCTCAGCCTCAGAGTTCGGTTTCTCTTTGGTCGAGAGTCGTCGAGTGCTGCTTGCGGATGTCTTACGGGGAAGGTGGCTGTAAGATGCGTTGGTAGTGTTCGTTGTGCCGGTCTGTGCCGAAGACTGTTTCGTCGCAGGCTCAATAACAGATGCCTTTGCTCTGGTGCTTTGGTCCAACAAGGGTGACTGTGTTGCGCCCGGCTGCCCTCGGTCACTCGCAGGGCTTGTCTGTTGTGTCTGATGAGAGAACACCGGAAGCCGACTTTGGGATGGACTAGGTTGCCTTAGGCGAGAACTTTTTGCGGAATGAACGATTCCCGGTGAGTACGAGGATAAAGTAGTTGGTGTCGAAGTCCTACTCCACACTCCTGGAGATTCTGAATACCTTGTGGAAGGACTACTGGCAGACGGGATTATCGGAGTTGGGGGTGGTAGATTTTGTGTGTTGATAGTGGTCCTGAGGCTTGCAAGTTCCTTCGGACCGGTTTGGACGTGAGCTTCCGGTACGATGGTCGAAAGATTATCCTCCGAAGCCATTGGTGACGCTAAAATTGAACGGTTCGTAGAGGGTCGTAAGGAGGCGCTCAGAGTTGGCCCAATGGTAGGGATATCTGGTATAATTACATTCAGCTTCTCAGGTCGTAGTCTCTCCAAACTTGGTCTGTTCTGTGCGGTATGTTGACCGATTGTCGGCGCCTTCCTCCGCAAGACATTGCGCGGTCGACCGGGAGCAGGGGACCTCTGGTCGGTGTCAAGGGCGTTCAGGGGTTCGGCAGCCATGTGGAAGGGTTGGCGAACGCCTCCATCCGGCATTGGATGCAAGGGTATCGGCGGCAATGGATGCGTGGCTGTTCGCGGAGGTATCGATGGACGAGCATGCTGACCGGCCGGGATCGTCGAAGGGTCTGATCGTGCGACACTGTGACGAGATTCCTCAGCGCTGGACACCGATGACGCTCGGATGGCCCTAGTCGAGGCATGCGTTGGTCTTGGTATTTGCGGCCTGGGCAATAGCTGGGCAGGGGCGTCGTGATGCCGAGCTGAGGCCATCGCGGGCGACGATACGCTCCGGGACTGGCTGGCGACATTCTTCAGTCGGGGTATTCGACCGCCGTCAGACTTGTGCGACGACATGGTGTGACCTGGGTCCAGCCTCCAGTTGTAGTCCGAAGACCAACGATCTAACGATAGGAGTAGGACGAGGTAGACAGGAAATCATTCCGTCTGATGATATTTATAGCCGACGAGAACGCTACCAGCGATAAGGCTTGTGAGCTTTCATTGAACCAATGCCAGCAGCTGGGGAATGACTTACCCTTCATAACATGTCAGGGAATTGTGCGAGTTGCGACAGTGACAGGTGCCGGTCAATTATAAAACCTAGAAAGTAACCGCGCAGCGGGGTATGTAGAGGCGGGGCAGAAGAAAGCTATTCAGAATAGGGCCACGGTTTGATGGAGCGTTGGGGAAATAAGCGGTCGTATTTAGCGGGGGGCAGGTGTCATAGAAGAATAGTAACCAAGACCGACAAGAAGATACGAGACTGCAACTATGGAAAGCAGAACATTTAAAAAGTATACAAAGGACCGACAAGTACACCGTACAGGCGCTGCGCCACAGTATGGAGACGTTCAGAGTGGCTAAATGCAGGAGAAAAAATAAAAAAAAGGTCGAGCTCCGTCTGCACGACCACGTCAGAGAGCGTCGGTCTATTAAAAAAGGTAGACTATGCGGAAGCCACATTAAATGGCGTAGAATAGAACAACCAAGACCAGCTACACAGGAAAAAACAACGAAAAGAACGATAGAGATGAATAGAAGAGAAGAAGAAGAGGGAGAGAAAGAGAAGGGCATGCGAACTGGGAGCTGGAAGTCTTAATTAGTCCCGTACCAGGAATAGATCTGGACCATCTGCGAAACCTGGACAAGCCAGGACTACCCTCGAACCCCGTTTGGCGACATCGTGCGTAGTGGGGGAACCAGTAACCCGATTCGTAGGTAAACGATCCGTCTAGAGAGCGTCAACCATCACAGATAATCCTGGCGCGATTCGTGCGATCGACGCTGGGTCGGGATTCGAGCAGTGATGTGACCGGGATGGTAATTGGCGCAGGCACTTCTCCTTTTCTCTGCTTCCCTTTCTTGATCTGGTGAATTATCTCCTGTGATCCCGCCCTCTGTTATCGACGGTCTCAATCCTGGAGTCTATCTAAATCAGCCGAAGTCACGAGCAGGCTGGCGAATAATCTCTCGAAAGCCGTCAAGCTCGACCAGGCTGGGGACAAGCCGTAATGACAGCAGAGGCAAGGCCAGTGGACAGTGGAAGGAATCCATGCCCGCGGCCCACTCCTGGTTGTTACGGCTATTCTAACTGGTAAGGACCATGGTCTTCCAGGGTTGGGGATTGTTCAACGGCATCGCTTGACAGGTCGAGATGGAGTTGAGTGGCGTGAGATAGCGGGAAGACCGTCGTGCGCTGAACCGGCCATTTGCCGTGGGCCAACGCGCGAATGGCAGATGCAGGCATCAGCCAAGCATGCTGGTGGTCACTGTAAGTCTTCTGTCAGTTGTCAGTCAGTCAGGATTGCCGCAGTCAACTAGTGCTTTGTAAGGACTAAAAAGCGAGGTTCAAGCTCGAAGTGGTCTGTGTGTTTTTTTGGAGAAGATGGGCGCTGATTTGATGCTGACCGGAGATTTTCACGGCGGCGACCCAAGCCGGTCAGGTGGTGGTCACTGACCGTCACTGATGGTCACTGACTATTCGGAGAGGCCGACTTTAGCCATCTCGATTTTAATTATAGCAACACCACACATGCAGGCAGGCCTTCATTCTCTTTCTCCCACCATGGGAATTTGAAGTCTCTTGAGGAATCAACTACACTGCAATGTCTACTTTGTTATCTCTAGAGAGCAACTATCTCACACTTTCTCTGCTGTGTGTGTGTGTGTGTGTGTGTGTGCTCTGAATGAGCGACAAGGTACTACACCACACTCAACCCTGGTACACCGGAAGGTTCGCCCCGATCCATTCAACTTCCCCCAATCCAGTCACATCGTTTATTGCCCCCCATCACACAGAACGAAATGGACATTTGCCTCGATCCACTCTTACAACGGCCAGACATGATATACTTTGTTCCTTCGCGTACCTTTCACACAACCAGTGACATCCCCGAAGCTACAGGCCGCACACAGCAGCTGAGACCGAGGACTAAACCCGGTGGATCCCCGCCGCCTTAGCAAACCACAGTCGGTCCCTAATTGCCTATCTGCAATCCTTTCAAAATCAACTAAGAAAAGTGCCTCATTGCCTCTCCCCGACCCGAGGGGAATGCGGAGTCGCTGAGCCGTGGGTCTTGATCCGCCGCTAGACATTCAACACGGGGCGACAATCACGCCTGATTGACGGATCCAAGGTGAACGGAGCCTGGCTCAGCAATTAGCACCACGGGCGCACTGAACCAACTACGAAGGGCTTTTGCCCGACAGAGTGAAGCAAAGGCCCCCCGCCCCTGCTGCCTTTTTGTGAATGTGATTCAGTGGGACGGCGGTTAACTGACTTCTGGCCTACTTACTATATCTGAACTTTACCCCCTCTCTCGTCTCCCCTAAGCGATGTGACATATACCAATCACGGAGCATCTAGAACTTGTTCACAGTTGGTTGTTTACGCGTCTGTCTAGGACGGATAAAACATGCGACTCGGGGCGAAAACAGAAGGAATGTGCGTGATGATAGACTAAGTTCTGCAGATCCGATCCGATCCCAAGGCCAGCCAGGAAAGAAGCCACGGTCGGTCGGTCGGTCGGTTGGTGCTGCAGGAACTGGGGCGCCATCATGCTCATGCGCCAGGGATTTTCAGCTGAACGTGTGAATGCTACGAGTTCCACTACAGAATTAGGCTTGCAGCTCGACTATTTACTTGGGATTCGATAGCTTATATGCTGTACACCAGCCTCCTTTTATATTATTCGCCTCGTTTCTTCGTCAATGGTGAGTGATGTTTGATGGGGAGAACAATGACTGAAGAAGGGTAAGAAAAAGAAAGCAACACAAGGGCGGATTGGATGGATGCATGTCACCCTGCACGGATCTTTGACCACATCCAGGGGAAATCTCCGGGCAATATCCAACAATGCCTACCGGGATCTCCTTAATGGCCCTGACTTCTTGTGACACCGTCAGATCCAATGACCGAATCGTATTTGCCAGTTACACAATGGCCGACCCGATCGACCAGGTCCGGCACTTCTTTGTGGCACCCAGGCCATTTTATCACAATATCCCTCACACCGTCAACCGCGACTCCAGTTCGCAACATGTACACAACAGCATATTTTCAGACCAAAGCTTGAATTTCCCCTAAAACGCCAGTAACCTGTAAAGAAAGAAGAAAGAAGAGATAGCAGAATATGAACCGGAATATCACATTGCGACCCTCTGGGTCTACGCAGCAGCTCCGAACCTCTTCTTCCGAGCTTCCAGGGCCGCGACGTCCTTTTGACTCCAGTTGGTCTTGGCCCCAGCAGCAGCAGTAGCACCACCGCCATTCTGTTGCTTCTGAGGGCGACCTTGACCCTGGTTACGGTTCCCACCGTGTCCTCCTCTGCCGCGGAACCTGTTCCTCCCTCCGAGATCCCTCTTCTTTCCACCGCGACCACCGCCGCCGCCGCTCTGCTCATCACCGCGACCTCTCTTGCGCGACTTCTCCTCCTTCTCCGGCAACGCCTCATCCAGCTTCTTCACACCGACTTCCCCAGGAGCCGGAGCCGCAGTACCGAACCGCTTCGCCCGCTCCAGCTGCTTCTCCGCCGCTTCAATCGCAGCCTTGGACTCCTCCGTAACACCGAACTTCTCCGCGCGAGCCTTCCTCTTCTTCAATTCCTCCTCCATCTCCGTAATGGGCAACCCAGCGGAGTAAGTAACTGCCGGCTTCTTCTCCTCCTCTCCCTCCTTCCCCGTAGCACCAGCACCAGCACCCTCCTCTTCCTTCTTCTCCTCCTGCTGCTGCGCAGCATCACCAGGTTGTTCGACCTTCAAATCCTTCGCCGTCGCGGGATCCGCCTCCTCATCCAACTTCTGATTCGGCACCTTGACGGGGTTCTCTACCTCGCCTTGTCCACCGGCCGCGATTGCCGCGGCGCCCGTCGCAGTCGACGCTGTAGCAGCCGCCTCACCAGCAGGGACCTCATCGTCTTCCCAGTCAATCACATCATCGGTGTTGTTGTCACCCTTCGTAGCAGCAGCAGCAGCAGCAGCAGGCTTCTCCTCCGACTTGTCAGCAGCGCTGTTATCGTTCTCCTGGAGCCGAGCGACCATCTCAGCCTTCTTGCCCGTGTGGGGGAGATTGCGCGACTTGAGGATCTCGATCAATTCGGCGTTGGTCTTCTTGCTGTAGTCGGTTGCCATTTTGATCTGGATTGCGATATGCGATGTTAGGTAGGTAGGTAGGTGTGTATCGTAGTAGACGACAGTAATAGTAAGGTAAAGTATGTAAGCAAGCAAGTTGCGACAGATGGATGGATGAGATGGGAGGGAAGAAGGGGGATTGAAATAGATAGATAAAAGAGAAGAAAGCGAATGAGACGATTACACTCTCACAACCACCATGCGCAATTCAAACAAAATTCAATTTAATAGATTGTCGGAAGGAAAAAACCGTGAATGATGATTGTGGTTGTACTGAAAAGAAAAGAGATGAGATGAAAGAAAGAGATTGATGATTGGGGGGGGGAAAGAGATGGGTGGTGGATGGGGATGGAGGTCCGTTCCGGAACTGGTGGTGGTGCTCTGAGCTACGCGTTTTTGGGGGGAAAACGCGGGTGTTCCAGGCTTCCCAGTTCTGTTCTCTCATCTGCGGGCTTTGTTCTGGCTTGTCTGGCCTGTGAGTGAGCCTAGTTACTGCCGGAGCTTACCGGTTTGAGGGAGAGATTATGGAAGTCACGTGGTGTAAGTGTGGTGGGTATGACATAATCGCTTGTTGATTCTATTTTAACTAGTTTCTAGTATGAATGTGTATACTTCGTTCAGCTATTTGTTAAGAAAATATGGAATTTACCCAGAATGAAAAGATACTCTTGACGGGATATTAATTATGCATGTGTGCTTACTACTAATCTAAAACTTTGCAATCGTGGATGATGACAGCTGAAAGAAAGAAAGAAAGATGGATTAATAGATGATAGATCCCGCTTAATTGCCAGTTAGTGGTAGTTAGTGTTTGAGTGGTGGCGGTGATTTTGCGGTTAAATTGTGGCTGAAGTTACTACTACTATTGAGTTTATATAACGGGCCAGTCTGTTGCTTTAACTTTATGTGGAATGATTGGGCGCAGCTGCCAGCTGAAGCAAAAGCATAGATAGACTTTGTGTTGACGTGGTGCTTGGATAGCCTTTGAGTGGCGGAGGGATCCGGACGTGGCTGGGTTTAAGCGCGTTGGCGTGGGTTATAGGGTCTATTGAGTATAGCGTGTGTGGGTATAGATGTTACGTTTGGATAGCTTTGTTGAGATGGGGAGTGTGGTTCATGGGAAGTTGCAGTGATATCTATCTTCCTTTTGTTCTTTTTCTACAATGATGAGCTTGGATTGCTTCTGCCTCTGTGAGCAGAATGATCATGAATTTAAATTGCTCAATGAGTTAGGCAATTAAAGACCATCGCAAAGTACCATATGCACCAGATAATAACCGCATATTCTCTGTCCCATCGAAGCACAGGCACACAGCTTCAACAACGAGGATCATTACACCTCAGAAGAGATATCATCCATAGAACCAATACTCCGCCGCATACTCCACCTCAAACGCGCCCTCGTGTCCCGCGCACGTAGCCGGACTAACACCGCCAGCTGTATAAACACGATAAACTTCCTACACACCACAGTTAGTACCATGTAACTTAGGCACACAAACACAGATACAGATGTAAAGCATACCTTAATTCCCACCCCATCAATCCCATCCAACTTGAGCCACGGCACATCCACACTCTTGGGAGCATTAGCACTAGCAACCTTTTTCGTGGAAGCCCAATCGTCATCCCCACTGAACCTGAGATCGAAGGACGGCTGTCCAGAGCCCGTAAAGTAATGTTCACCAAGAATGCCCGCTCCCGTTCCAGCTAGGCTGATCATCGTGGCGAAAAAGTCCAGCGTCTCGAGGGGGATGCCTTGCACGAGGGCCGGGAGATGGTGCAGGAGCTCCTCATCGACCGAGGCGATGCAGGAGACATCGAAGAGGGTGGCCAGGGCGCCAACGGAGGTGGGTTTGCTGGTGGAATTTTGAGGTGAAGGGCAGGTGTAGTTTTGGGTTCCTCGGCCGAGGGCGACGTGCTGGAGGGTGAGGTTGCTGGCTGGGGTGGGGAGGGTTGTGAGGTTGTTGTTCATGTTGAGAGTGGTGGTGTTGAGCGAGCATGAAGTGAGGTGGAGATTCTTCAGGTTGGAGATGGTGGAGCTGAAGATGGAGGTGGTGGTTAGGATGTCGTTGGCGTTGGTGTTGGTGTCAATGTCGGTGTCGGTGTTATTGGTATCATCGGGGGTTGAGTGTGGGATTGCGGTGACGAGGAGGGGGAGGAGAAAAACGAGGAGGTAGTTGAGAAGCATCATGATGTAGATGTTTGTTTCTTGAATGAGAGATGAGTAGCTTGCGAGAGGTTTGGGGTTATAGTTTCTGTTCTTAACTGAAGCAGAAGATGAAGTGGGTTGGTGGTGAGGGAATTGTTCTGATGGAAGGAAGCATCGACAAATATAAGTAGTAGGAGAATGATCCACTCAGTTATTGCAGATACTGATGCTCACTGATTCATTACCTATTCACTCAGTTCCAATTCTGAGAAGCATTATGACCAGTCTGCCTTGACATCCCTCAGGATTCCCTCTCAGCCATGCTAAATCAATCCAGTCCAGTTGATGCACGCAAGCATTGATATGTTGGATAGCCAGATACACTGCCTCCACACGAGATAAACGGTGAGGACTGAAGTCAACAAGAAAGACGCCTTCCTCCAAAGCAACAGGAAAAGAATCTCAGTATGCCCGATATCTCGCATGCAGAGACAATCCACAGGCAACAACCCTCCAACATTCAATCAAGTCAGTCAGTCGGGCATAGCATGGACCCCCCAGGCCAACAAGTTATACCCTATAGGCAGCATAGGCGCTACACCCAAAAGCAGCCTTGCAGATATAGCCACACGCCTGTGTAATCTACCTTGGAATCTGTCTAACAGGCATTCGCGGACGGCAGTGGGTGTGAGACGCGCATAAAACCAACAAGGTTTGATATAAGCGCCGTTGCCCTCGTGGCCATGCATCGGCCGTTGAGAACATTTCCGAACCAGAAATCTCTTAATTTAGGTACACCTGCGGAAGAGTAGCCGAGTTAGCGCTTGCTATTATTATTCGACATATATTGGAGATGGTTGTGGGACAACCTGCATACACAATGTCATGCGCAGTTTAGGACACACGATGTCCTCCATAGCCATTGGTGCGATGTGAAATTACCGTCGCTTCGCGTGGAAGATTCAACATGCTAGTTGCCGTGAGCCGTATGTCGCTGTATACCGCAAGTTCTTGGTGCTTCTGCTGTGTTTACCTTTGCGGATGGTTGGCTTTGCTGATGGATGACCACGATGGAAGAAGATGGCCCCGACATTGAAGCCTCTTAATATGCAAGACCGGTTCGGGATGAACATGAATATAAGATGAACAGCAGCTTCTGCAGGCTATGAGCATGCCTCGCCATCATCTTTGAATGAAATAACCTCTTCCCCAAGATCGCGCCCCGGCGCTTCAAGCCCACAACCTGTTACACCATCACCATTAGCGATTCCGCTGTGAACCCCATCATAAACATAGAGATCAAAAAGACACTGATGTTCGTCCATTCGGGATTTCCGAGCCTTGACAGACACTCGGACAATGCGGAGAAAGTCGGGAGGTGACCCTTGCTTTGGCCCCTAAAGCACAGATGCTTTAGCTTCCAATCCAGCATGCTCAGCTCCCAGTGAAGAAGGTACGCCGATGGCTGCAAGCACAAGCAGGCAAGCAAGGGTCTTAGCTTACCTGCTGCACGGAATTGGATTCATACTTCTTGGGCAAAAGTAGATGGATCCATCCCCCGTGAAGGCTGTACAGGTCAAACAGGGGCGCGTGCGGACCAGGGGTCACTGTCACTGTCACTGAGCATGGAAAGACTAGTTCGAAGAAAAGTACAGAGATAAGGATAGCGTCAGTCAGTCTACAAGGAACCCCGGGGGTGCATTTCAAGCATCTTTGATTAGACAATAAGGTATATAGTAGCGACCGTGGTGACACCGTGGGTGTCTAGTATGCTCCAAACAAGTTTAACCGTGGCAAACAAAGCAGCCTGCATTTCCCAGCCCATGCTCCGCCCAATTGCAACGGGTATCAGCCCTGCACTCGCGTTGGCAAGTGCACCTCCTTATAGCAATTTATCCCAGCAGAAAAACAAACCCAACTCAGATCAACAGCCCATGCTAATTCCCGATAACAAATCATCGCGCGAGACTCTGCGGCACAGCAAGGAAAAAGGTCAAGTAACCGAATGGAAACAAACATAAGAAAAAAGGGGGGAGAAGAAGAGAAATATTCTAGATCATAGAAGAAAAAAGACATGAGAAAGTAAAGGGCCTGCTGCGTATATATTCCGATTTGCAATCATATCACGGAAAACGCAGGAAAAGAAGTGAATCATCAAGAACCAAACCCCAGCTGGTATCTGAGCAGAAAAAGCCATGCCGAACAGAAAAAGGAAATTAAACAACATCGGACCAACTCCCTAGTCTAGCGAGAGATAAGAAGGAAATGGGTAATCAAAACCAAAGAAAAAGGAAAAAAACAAATCACCAACCAGCAAAACAACCGGTACCTCTATGGTCATAACTTGGGTAATAAAGACATCACTAGCAACCCTCCGAGCCGTTGTACCGTGTCTTGCCTGTCCAGGGGAATCTGAGAAAAACAAAGGAAACAAAAGAAATGGGGTATCGTTTCTCTGCCACACTGGCCGAGACGGAAAGAGAAGAAAAGTAGAAGAGGAATCGAAGCTGTTGTACAAGAATACGGAACCCGATTCAAGAGTGAGACGTCGCACAATGTGTTGCGATGCGTCTCAGGATCGTAGTCCGCTGTTCCTCCGCCCCGTTAAGGTGGCGTTAAGGGGGAGGCGTTCGAGACTGAGAGAAAGAGTGACTTGATTTACTCTTCGTCTTCGCCCGAAGCACCTTCCTTTTCTCCTTTGTGGACCTTCTTGTGCCGCCGCAGGTTGGAGACGACGGAGAAATGACGACCACAGCCTTCCACGTCACATGCGAATGCTAGATTCCCGAATATCAGTACCACAGACCACTAGTAAAGGCTCGTTCTGGAACTTACGTTTTTCACCAGTGTGACTGTACATATGAGTCTGAAGAGACGAAGGGCGGGTAAACCGCTTGTCGCACACCTTGCACTTGTGCTTCTTCTGGGTGTTGGACGGCATCTTGGAGCTGAATTGGCTCATCATCGACTGGGGTCCCGGAGGCGCACTTCCCGTCAACAGGGTTGACGGGCGAGGCAGCGTCCGCGACAGATGGCCATTCTCGTAAGATTCCGAAGTAGTAGAGCTGTAATCAGTCACAGAGGACTCCACGGATGCGACAGAGGCGGAATAGTAGGGGTAGTTCCCGCCGGAAGAGATCGACGATCCCGAAGAGTGTGTCGAGGGGAAACCGTAAGAGTCACCCG